TTATTTTGAGAAACTGCTCAAACCTCAAATATTTTAGATTCCATCTTTCTGGTCATCAGACTTAAGTCTAATATTTTTTTCTTCCCAAGAACTTCCTTATCCTGTAGACACATTAGATAAACCCTAATTTGACTCAAACCTGCAAGCCGCTGTCTTTGTCTTCGCTTTCGAGTCAAGAAGAATAATGTGACGAAAATGACCAACAGAACAACCCCAAGGATCCCGACTGCAGTAAGGGATGACTGACGTGATGAGTGACCTAAGTAAATATCAAGAGATTGGATTATGTCTTATCGAAAATACCAAGGTTCCTAGTCACCGACTCTCTCTTTGGTCAAATACAGGATCCCTGAGTCAAATCCACAGAACCTCTTCTGACCTAAAATTTCTAAACAACGACAAAAAAAACTCTATGTATGCAGATAACTGGTCCCATGATCGTAAACTCCATAATATACCTGTTGTGGCCTTTTGTGCGTTTTTGTGCTCTGAAATATCTGTAGGAGAAAAGAGAAAGAGGCTTAATTCTTTTGAGTAATATATAGAACAAACATTTTTATTTCCTTGTCTGAATTCTTAGTCCCTCTCAACCAAGTAAATAACTCTTTCCCACCTAAAACTAGAGTCCTCTAGTCTTTTTTTCTCTGCACAATGGATAGAGGTCATATGCTTCTCCTTGGTGAAGGCCAGTATATAACAATTATTTTCATCATTCTTTTAGTAGAGACATTATGCTTTTCTAATGAGAATCCCCACCAGATCCCTGTGTCGATACGTCTGATTTTTACACAACACACATCACTGCCCAACCCCTTTGCTGCCAGAGATTACAAGTTCAATGCAGGCTTCTGGCACTTACTTGTACAATTCACTGCAGCGTCTTCCTTGTGCCCACATTCACTGTGGCCCCAGCGTCTGGCAGGACAATCCCACAAGGAAGACTCATTCCCTTTGCACTTGACTTCATTGAGCCATATGGGACCAGTCCCCTGACCAAACTCTGCTTCTTTGAATGCTTTCAAAGCTGGACCACAGCCAAGTTGTTGACACACCACATGAGCATCATCCAAGTCCCAGGAGTCATCACACACTGTCCCCCAGGAGCCTCCATGCCAGATCTCCACACGCCCAGAACAGGAAGTAGGTCCTTCTTGAAGTCTTATCTTGTCTGAAAAATGAGAGACATGTAGGCTATTTCTAAGATTTCTAAAAGCTTCCAAGAGTTCACAGGGGAAAAGAGAGATTTGAAACTTAAAAAAAAAAAACTATTTAAAATGCTACTGAATGTGCATTTTAAAATTTCTATTTTTACAAAATTTATCTTTTATGAGAGGACTTGTCATTTCAGCAAACTAGGTGTATTTCATCCTGCATGTAAGATACATGGTGTGACTCAGTAAATGTTAAATGATTAAAGTTAACATTATAAATATGTGATGTCAGTTTCTTTCAAGTAGACAAGATCTTGGGAAATTGCCAGGTTGATAGAAATCTCACATTTCAAGAAGATGTAGAGTGTAGAAATACTTCAGGACTGATCTTTCTGACTGCTTTTCTCCTTATATTAGTATAACAAGATAATATTTGAAAAATGGGTAAGGTAAAGTAGACCATTCAACAGTCAAATATTAAATCACATATTCTCTCCTCCTCAGAGAAGGCAATTGAAAAAAAATCTTTCCAGCAGACCATGGGACGTATGATATCCTTTGGAATAATAATCGCTGTTCCTGAATATCTACAGGTCAAATTAAATAAAATCAACTACACCATCCAAGTAGAATAGATATTACCCACAGGTTACCCATCCTTGCTTAATTAGATCTAACACCTTAAGCCAGTATGAGAATAGAAAAATAAAATCCAATGTGCCTTATCAGAAGATGAGAGTGGGGCTGCAGAATGGAATTTTCATGTGGGTCGATGGAGACTCACTGTCACATGTGATCCAGGTCTCCTCCGAGGGGTTGGCCAGTCTCTGCTCCCATGGAGATGATAGGCACTGCCACAGCGCGTCAGGTCCTTTTGGGCACTGAACATTGTCCACCCACATGGGAATGGACGTTGCCTTGTCTAAAGATGCAGCGTTGATTTTCCCTCTGTCTGCACAGCCCAGCTGCCTGCACACCACACTCACAGTGGTTTCAGACATGCCACTCCTGCCAACACTGCCCCAGGCTCCATTGTAAAAAACTTCCAAACGGCCTGCACAGGCCTCTCTGCTGGCTTCACTGGTCAGTCTAAGAGACATGAACTCTGCAGTGAAACACAGAATTAGTAGTTTTGCATCTTTCCTGAAGATTTAGAGACTCCTTCCCTTTACCGTGATGTAAGAATGCCTTTAAAAATAGGTACAATATGTCAGTTACTAATAATTCTTTAGTAACTTCTGGATAATTTCATAGATGTTATTAAAACAGAGTATTTATACTACAAATATGTCACAGTTTTTTAGTCTTAGGTTTTGTACTCAGGGACCTCTTTAGATTACCCTCAATGATTCTAAGAGGCTTTCCAGATCTCAAAGGCTAAAAGCCTTTTTCAATTACATAGTTTGGATTTTTTTTTCCCAAAAATACTCTGGTGGTGGTTGTTGTTTTGCAAGTCTTTGATAGTTAAAATTGTTAGACACTTCGGCACTAAAATCAGTGTTTTGTCTACATGTCTTAAAATGACATAGTTCATTTGCTGACACTTCACAGTTTTGCTGTGCATGTCTTCTACCAGACTTATGCCATTAAAATAGTAATAAATCACTTCTGGCATACAGAGTTTTTCACTTCCTTAAGTTACCGAGTCACAGTACTGTTTCTCCCAATATATTATGAAATAGTACATTTTTAAATTTCAGAATGTTTTCTAAAACTCATCATGTATACAAAGCAAGAGAGTGGGGCTGCAGAATGGAATTTTAGCAGAATGGAGATTAGCAGTAATCTCATGCTAATTTTTGTTTCTATGACAAGTAAATCTCATTTATCTGCCATGAAAAATTTCTTGGGCATGGTAATTATCTTTTTTTAATGTAGAATGATGCACCATGTGTATTTCTTCTTGTCCCATTAAATCTACTTCTTTATTAATACTGTAATTATCAAGTGGTGCCATTTGATCGCTGTCTAATATCCAGCTCCAAACATATTTATTAAAAACCTTCATTATTAACTCTGTTGTCGTCTTCATTATCTACAAGACCATTTCTGGTCTTTTCTCTCTGCAATATCACACCACATTGCACATGAAGTAGCACTGGCACATCAAACTCAAGCTTCTGGTATCCTGACTCCTGAGCTCATTCCTTTTGGACCTGCTTTTCAGGAAAATCTTTAAGATTAATATCCCTCACTTCTCTTCTTCAGGCCTTTCTCTATGTAATTGTGACCAGAGGTTATATGCATAATTTACCTGAGCAGATAACTCCTGCATCCTCCTTGTGCCTGCAATTTTGCTGCCCCCAGCCATGTGAATGGCACTGCCAAATGCGGGATTCTTTTCCATTGCATTTCATCTCATCCAGCCAGATGGGCCCTGTTCCTTCCCCAAAATAAGCAGAACCAGTGGCATTAACGGCCTCTCCACAGCCCAGCTGTCTGCACACGACATGGGCATCACTCAGGTCCCAGCTGTCATCACAGATGGTGCCCCAGGAGCCCTCATGATAGATCTCTACTCTCCCAGCACAGCGACCTCCTCCATTTACCAGGCGAAGTTGACCACTCTCTGCAAAGAGAAATGAAAATATTAATAACATGCATTCCTCAATCCTTTGGAATGCATGTTATTAATATTTTCATAGATTGGTCACAGAGTCTCACCTATGCAGGGCACAGCACTTTCTTCTGGAGTGGTAGGCCTTGTCGGGCCCAAAGATGATGAATTGCATGGGGATAGTGTTTGGGACTGGTTTCCTGCAAACACCAAAGTACTCAGTCATACAAGATACAAAAGGTTGGGGGGTCAGATGGAAGGTTATCTGGATGAGTGAGGGGAAAGAGGGAAGAGTAAGAGAGAGAGAGGGGAAGGTGGACGAGTTTGGAATAAATCAGGTGCTTTGAGATGGGCTTCACAGAGTAAGCACTGGATAACTATGACTCCATCAAAATTAGGTTTGCTCACTCTCTGAAAAGACAAATGAGGTTAATATTCTGAAGCATGAATCAGTATTCATTCTTCTCATGACCCTTCAAAATGGATCATTATCTTTCACTTTTGTTCTTCATCCCTATGTACACCTGCTCTTAAGACCCGTCACTGGCTGCCCTTCATTCTCTTACCTGAGCAGATCACAGAGGCCACTTGCCCTGAAGGACATAGTGAGGCACCCAGAGCAGTTACAGGACAATCTCCTATGTGCCGCTCAGTCCCAGTGCAGTAAAACATATGTCTCCAGACCTGACCATTTCCTTTTCCAAAACGTGCTCCTTTTGGGGTAGAAAGGGCAACTCCACATTTAAGCTGCTGGCAAAGAACGTGGGCATCTTCTATGTCCCAGTGAGAGTTACAGAGGGATCCCCAGGTCCCAAGGGTTTTGAGCTCCACTCTGCCCTCACATGGGGTCTTGCCATTCACCAAGCGAATTTCTGTGTATCCTGCAAGGAGACACGGCTTTAGAAAAAGTTGACTATGACTCCCTAACCCTATCCCTTTCACAGTATGGGAACTGATTAAAGATGTTATCTGGGTCTTACTTGAGCAGACTACTCCAACATCCCTGCTGTGGCTACAAGTTCCATCTGGGCGGGATGCTACGGGGCAGAGTGAAAGATGGGACTCATGTCCCTCACACTGGAATTCTTCAGCCCAGATCTGTCCGCTTCCCTCTCCAAAGTGAGCTCCCCCAAGGATAGAGACAACTGTGCCACACTGTAATTCCCTGCATAGCACACTGGCAGCTTCCAGAGAGAAATCAGAATCACAGACGGAGCCCCATGAGTCGCCATGCTTCACTTCAACACGTCCAGAACAGGGGATGTCCCCTCCAACCAGTCTGGGTTCCCTGTGGGCTGAAAAATAAATATCATTTCAGTGAGAGACAACATGATTTCCAAATTTCCATTCACGATGAGGGTTAGGAAGGTGGTGAGGAGTGGGAAATGGAGACCGGAGTGTGTTCAGTGATTTCCTACATTTGTTTGTCTTGGCTTTTCTGCCTGGAGTTGGGTATGGATAATTCTAGACCTCCCTATTCCTAGCTGAACTCGTCCACCTGAGAGGATTCTGAGAATTTACCTTGTGCGGTCAACAATCCTCAGAGCCAATGATAACTCTGGTCTTCAAACATGTTGCTTAATTTATTCATAATAACATTAGAGACCACAAACAATATATATATATATACACACTATCTCTATCTCAATCTTGCACTCATTCCTCCATGTGCTGCAGTCTGGGGTTTGCTCAACCTTTTTGAATTGTTCTGTCAAGTTTTTCAATATGCTGCTAATTTTCAAAATGAACATCAGACTTCTTCCTTTTGATGCCTGTTACACTTGGTATACGTGACCCTTCTTTCTCCCATTTTCTCCTCTTCCCTTTCTGACAGTGCTTTATCAAAACATTTCATGTATTCCTTGAGTCAAAGTTCTGTCCATAACCTTCTCATCTGCTCAATGGACATGTCTCAACTGCCAATAATCTATACTTTTTTCTTTAATTTTAGATTCACAAACACATCTGCTAAGACATGTGGAACTTAAAGTATTCAAAGCTGAATGAATTATTGTACGACAAGTCCACTGTATTATTTACTTAATTAGTGATATCTAGACCAAACTAGATTCATCTAAATTGAACCACTTTATCTTGCCACAAATAACGGTAATGATAGCAGTGATTGATCTCTCTCCTCCCCCAACCTCCTGCCCACCCTTGGGGGAAGTTGGGCAGGAAGGGTGGGGGAGAGGAAGAAAGAGTAACAGAAACCTTTCCACTTTACAGCTTTAAAATTATTCCTTCTAACGTGGATCTACTGAGCGCCAACTTGGTGCTTCTCCCACTCACGCCTGGCCAGGGCGTGTAATGACTACAGTGTTGGCCGGATGTTGCTGGTACTCACTATCTGATCCAGACAGGGAAACAGTCACGCATGTTGAACCATGGGAGAAAGGAAGCAGGAAAACAGCGGGCCAGACAGGGATGTGCAGAGGGGTTCGAGGTGTTGGAACAGGAGGAATTGTTTCTACAGAATTTTGCCTGTCATACAAATTATTTATCCTCAACCTGAAAGCAAGTGATGGGTCTTATAACACACACAGACCCTCCATATATTAGAGCACTTGGATTGATGTATATAAGATATACACAGCCCACTACAGATCTATGGGACTGGTTTGAATCCTTCCTTGATGATGAAGAGGACCTAGAAGTGAAGGCTGGTGGAGGCTGTGTGATGACCATTGGAGAAATGCTACCATCTTTTCTCACAAAACTGGAACGGTTTTCTACCTTGTTTCCAAGAATTCCAGTTCCAGTTCAAAAGAATATTGATCAACAGATTAAAACCCGACCTAGAAAAATTAAGAAAGAAGGGAAGGAAGGCGTTGAGGAAATAGACAGACATGTTAAACGCAGAAGTTCAAGGTCTCCAAGGAGATCTCTGAGTCCACGGAGGTCCCCAAGAAGATCAAGAAGTAGAAGTCATCATTGAGAGGGCCATGGGTCTTCTAGTTTTGACAGAGAATTAGAAAGAATTTGACAGAGAAAGAACGTCAGCGACTAGAGCGTGAAGCCAAAGAAAGGGAGAAAGAACGCCGAAGATCTCGAGGTATTGATCGGGGGTTAGAACAGCAGAAGCAGAAAAAGGCACAGAAGTCGCAGCCGGAGTCATGATAGGAAAGGGGATAGAAGGGACAGGGATCGGGAAAGAGAAAAAGAAAGTGAGAGAGGTAGAAGACGAGATCGTGACTATGATAAGGAAAGAGGAAACGACCGAGAAAGAGAGAGCGATCAAGAGAACTGTCCACGGAACAGAGAAGTAGGGGAGAGGTAGAAGACAAGAAACATAAAGAAGACAAAGATGACAGGCGGCACAGAGACGACAAAAAAGATTCCAAGAAAGAAAAAACACAGGAGAAGCAGAAGCAGAGAAAGGAAACACAGAAGTAGGAGTCGAAGTAGAAATGCAGGGAAACGAAGTAGTAGAAGCAAAAAGAAATGAAGTAAACATAAAAATGAAAGTAAAGAAAAATCAAATAAACGAAGTAGAAGTGGCAGTCAAGGAAGAACTGACAGTCTCGAAAAATCAAAACCATGGGAACATAGCCCCAGCAAAGAAAAATCTACAAAGCGCAGTGGAAGCAAAGAACGTTCCCACAAACGAGATCACAGTGATAGTAAGGACCAGTCAGACAAACATGATCGTCGAAGGAGCCAAAGTATAGAACGAGAGAGCCAAGAAAAACAACACAAAAACGAAGAGGAGACTCTGAGAAAATATTTTGTACAAGTGGATCACATTGAATCCTATAAATGATTAAATCTGCTATTTTTCTCCCAAGTTGAGGCTGTGCAGTAGTTCGCACTCCTCAAGCTCTCCCTGTAGGCTGCATTTTCATTTCCTCTTTTGTGTAGGGAAGTGCCTTTGTAATTCCATTTACTGCATTGATGTTTTCACTCAGTGTTAAGTTTGGTACATGATGCACGGATTGTTCTTGCATTTTTATTGCTTGTTTTTGAAAGGTACAGTCTGTACATATGTCCGGAAATGTTTTAATTCTTTTGGCATGGTTTCCATGTTGGTCAAATTTGTATAAGGCAAAAAACTGCCACTAATCTATCTTTGTTTTGTAGGTGTGGGATTATGGCTTGTGTACTGAAGTTAGCATGGCTGTGCCTTTCATAATAGAATGCTAAAGACTTTGAGAATGGATCTTGGATGTCTGTTATAGGAGAAATACGTGCTGTCAATAGACAGGAAGGCAGCATTGTAGGATTAACATTCTTGTCCATTGTATAGTATCTTGGAAGGCTCTTATTAATATGCTATGCTTAATATTCTCCACAGCTACCCTTAGGGAGAATTTATGAGAAGTTAGTTTCTGATGCAGAGGTTTTTTTGGCTGTGATTTCATGAAAAGTCCTTTTAGCATTTTACCTCAAAGGGACACTTAGTACTCCTAAAATTTATTCACTTAGTTTTCCTTTTTTATTTGAAAAAATACATGACATGTAATCTTTTTTCTTGAATTCTTCCTCAGATTTTGAAGTACTACATTAAAGAAAAAAATTAATGTCTAAAGCCTAGCATTCTTGCAGAACCCTGTACTAACATGTTCAGGGAGATAGTGGGGCAAATGAGTAGAGAAACAGATTCAAGCCCCAAGCTTCCAAAACATTTTTATAAGTGGAAAATCCTTAAATTATGAAACAGCTCGATATAGTGTCTTTTTTTTTAATTCAGAACTTTTAAAATTGATTATGGAGATTGCTATTGGAGTTAAGTTAATCTAGAAAAGAGGAGTATTAAAAGTAATGCTATGCTGCATTATTTAAGACTATCAGCAAATTATTTGATAGATTGTTCTTATGACATGTATTCTGATTACAGAGAACCATCATGAGTGTGGAATAAATACTGAATTAAATCCTTTATCCTGGGGGAAAAAAATGATAGTAGTGAACATTGAGCATTAAGTGAGCATCTATTATATTATATATATGGCATTCCAATGAGCATTTAACAAACATTATTTCATTTAATCCTTAAAATTGCCTTAGGAGATAATTGTTAATGTAATTCTGATTTTATAGACAAGGAATCTGAAACATAGAGAGGTGGGGTGTAGTGATTTGCTAAGGTCACACAGCAAATTACTACAGAATTAGTAAGGGGACAGAATTTGAAGTCAGACTGTATTCCAGAGCCTACAGTGTTGACCCTCACAATACATTACGCACATAGAAAACCACCATATCTCAGTCCAGCGTATTTCTTCTTCCCCATATTTATTGCCATAAAGTGATTTGTCATCATCTGTCAGGCAGACCTCTATAATAGCTTCCTAAATTGTTTCCTTTCTCCAAGAAATTTATGCCATGATTATAAACATATATTAATAAATTTCAAATATTTTCATGTGATGTTTTATCTTTAGATGACAATGTTTCCTTATAATTTATGCAATAATCTCTTACATAATTTTATATAATTATGTATACATTAATTAATCCAAAAGTATCAATGTAACGACTTATAATGTAAGTCGTCTGACTCTCCTTAAGGCATTTGAGGATGGGTGGGTTAAAAAGGCTGCCACAGAGTTCAGTCTGTCATTGAAGATAGATAATACTAAAAACAATAGTTATAATCATATTAGCTCACATGATTTTATAGCTCACTGTGTAATTCCTGTGAGGTGGGCCCTATTACTATTCCCATTTTTCTTCTGAGCAAACTGCAGCATAAAGAGCTTTTATAGATTCCCTAATTTCATCCGGCAACTAAAAGGTAAAATAAGGAGAGATGATAAACACTAATTCCTTAGTACACCTGCTGATCTTATCTAAGGGGCTGTCCTGCCACCTAGCCCCAGCCAGAGTTCAGTCTTGGTGGAGCTGAGGGCAGCAGGATGGAGGAGGGAAGGGAGCCAAGGGATGGACAGCTTGTCATTTTTTTTCTTTGAATAAATGTCACTCTTTGAGGCAAAAGAAGGAACCATCAAAAAAAAAACCAGCATCTATTATTTTATCAACCAAATCTGATGCTCCAGCCTAAATATGCTTGGGCATGCCATAATTTTCATGCATCTGTGGCTCTGCAGAAACTTTTCTCTCTACTTAAAATGTATTTCCCTAACTTATGTACCCAGGAAAAGGCTACTTCTTTTCTGTTCAACTTCTTACTAATAGCCTTCTCCTCCACAAACAGAGTTTACTGCAGATATACATATTTTAATAGTGATGAACCCAAAAATAGAAATATGTATTAGATATAAAACTAACAAACAAAGGAGTAAACCACTCTGTTTTAGGCTATGTAGAAGAGAGTACCATAAATCTAAATTGCGTTTTGGAAAAAGATGAGGAGTTTGCCAAATACACAGTGTGTGAAACAGCCTTTAAGGAATGTGGTCATGGAAGAGCCTGGTGCCACCGAAGAATTTTAAGTAACTTACTGTAGCTGAAATTTAAAATATAAAGAAAAGACACACCAGAAATAATAAATGGAATTTATATTATGAAGGTGCTCTTTGTCAGGTTAAGAAACACAACCATCAAGATAAGTGAGTTTCTTTGAAAATACTCAGAGGCAATATAAATTACTTAAGAAATATAAACTATTTTTTAACTCATTTTTTAAAGAAATAAAGAAAATGCCATTGAAAACTAGACCTTCTAAAGGTTAAGTTGTTCATGGATATCTGCTATCGAATATCAACAATTTTTGTAATCTCTTGGTGTTACTATCACCACGATACAGATACACCATCAGCCCTTGCCATTCTGCATACTCTGATATCCTTTCTTCTCCCATAAACCTACACCTTATACTAAAATGTCTAAGAAAATGTTTTGGGTGTGACATATTCTGTACTACAGCAATATATAATACCTTAACATGTCAAAATTTCACCAATTATCCATTAAATCTGCAAAAACAAATCCCTATCCAAATTCAAGATGAAAAAACATGTCGCTTTCTGAACATAGCTCAGAGTTTAAAGCAGGTAACACCTCTACAACACAATTAATGACCCTTGAGTTGGATGGTTCTTCATTTCTTCTTTTTGAATCTTTATTCAAGCATGAAATTTCTCTTAAGATAGCATTAACTAGTATTCATATGATCCCAATCCCTTTTGGATGCCCTAAATCTTTAAGTAAAGGCAGTTGCCTAGATCGAGCCAAATTCTGATTTCTTGTAAAATCTCACTCTTTCATTTGGATCCACCTTGAACAAAATAAAGTAAAAGAAAACCAGTGAAAAACAAACAAAAAAACAAATACTTTCTTTTCCCTTGTGAAAACTCATTAAGCATTTAAAAACAAGTCCCTTCTATATTCTCTTGTTTTCTTTGTTCTAATATATTTGAGTCAGGGCAGAGGAGAAAGTCTCCCACTCAGAAAGTGACTTGGAGACTCCATCCTCAGCCTTTATTTTGTGAATCTGCTAGTAACATATTAATCTATCCTACGGGTGGCTTTCCTTGTATCATTACTCTTTAGACAGAGTAATGGTTAGAATATTGGAAATTTATCTCTTTAATGTATTTTTTTCTGCTAATCTATGACTGTGTTTTTATATAAAAGCCATTAAGTAAATGTTTGCACCTGGATTTAGCGATATTGATCAACAACTTCAGTTTTCCTCTGGCATAAGAAAACAAATCTGTTTTTCTTTCTTTCTCTAGAAAAATGAATAGCTAATAAGTCATAATTAACTAGAATTATTTCCTTTTGTTTACTGATAAATAAAATATGCAACATGATTTAAAGAAGCACTAATGTATTTTCAACATTTAATGCTTTTCAGACTCCAAGGAAGTATAGATCATCATAATGTCAGAATTATTTCTCAATCCTAAATTAAAATACAGCACAGCTCAAATGAACTGTTGCTTAAGGTCAGATGTCCTCTACAGTACATATACAGATATCACAAAATGTTTGAGATTCAAAATAATTTTGTGACCAAAATTTCCTGGACCTTTCTCTGTCAACAATGTATCTTAAATTATTTCCAGTTGTCCTGCTTAGTTGAATTCTTCTGGTTCTTTCCAACTATATAGCCCTGTGCCATATAAAAGTTAAAGAATTTAAACAGATTATCAGATTCATAGTTTGAATTTGGCAGGCACAGAGGCAGCATGTCCATCATTGAAAGAGACTGCATGTCATCAATGAAAGTGTCAAGTAAATAAACAAAATTACAAACTCTATTACTAACAAAATATGTAAAAAGCTAAAAACCAATGCCCCCAACATAAGTTGAAGAACTTCCAAAACCTACAGAAATATAACAAAAGAGTTTGCAAAAGGAAGCAAAAAGTGCACATGGCAAATAGCAAATAAAAATACAGCTCTGTGAAGCAAGGAGCCCATCTTAAGTGGCAAATTAATATTATTTATGATTTCCCTTATATGCAGCTGAATGGAATCAAATAATTCAGAACATGTTGCCATAACTAAGGGAATCTAGTAATGCAACCTAAAATATGGGCGTGGTCGAATGGAGTTGATGGGCAGAATGGACTAATGACTCAGATATGAGAGGCGAAAAAGCAAATGAGTCTTATTACACATGGTAAAATTTTGGGGCAAACCTCACTTTGAAAAGAAAACCACGTGCTCACTGAAGCTTAAAAAATGCAGTTTGGCCAGGGCAAGTGGCTCATGCCTATAATCCCAGCACTTTGAGATGCCTAGGCAGGTGGATCAACTGAGGTCAGGAGTTCATGACCAGCCTGGCCAACATGGTAAAATCCCATCTCTGCTAAAAATACAAAAATTAGCCAGGTGTGGAGGTGGGTGTCTGTAATCACAGCTACTCTGGAGGATGAGGCAGGATAATTGCTTGAATGTGGGAGGCAGAGGTTGCAGTGAGCTGAGATCATGCCACTGCACATCTGCCTGGGTGACTGAGCAAGACTCTTTCTTAAGAAAAAAAAATGCAGAATTTATTGGGCAAAGTACAAGAAAAAAACTACAAAAAATATCAGAATGTTTGCATGATGTGGATCCTCCTTGCCAATTTTAGCATTTACAGGAGAGATGAGAAATTCAGACTGTAAGTAGTCAGAGTACAATCAGAAATGAGAGGAAAAATATCAATTTTATAAGGAGGTATGGTCTGACTGCAGGTGTTGTATATAGCTAATAAAGAGTCCTACAATTTGAAATTGAAGAATTCAAGAAAAAACTTTATGTATCCTGTCCCCCAAATTGAGGTGGTGGTAAAACCATAGCCTTATCAGAAGATAAAATTGATGCTCCAAGAACACAGTGGGAGGCATCAAACTACCAGACTTCAAACTATACTACAAGGCTATAGTAATCAAAACAGCATGGTACTGGTACCAAAACAGAGATATACACCAATGGAACAGAACAGAGGCATCGGAGGCAACACCACATATCTACAACCATACAATCTTGGATAAACCTGACAAAAACAAGCAATGGGGAAAGGATTCCCTGTTTAATAAATGGTGTTGGGAAAACTGGCTAGCCATGTGCAGAAAGCAGAAATTGGACCCCTTCCTGACACCTTACACTAAAATTAACTCCAGATGGATTAAAGACTTAGACATAAGACCTGGCACCATAAAAATCCTAGAAGAAAATCTAGGCAAAACCATCCAGGACATAGGAGTAGGCAAGGACTTCATGACCAAAACACCAAAAGCATTGGCAACAAAAGCCAAAATAGACAAATGGGACCTAATCAAACTCCACAGCTTCTGCACGGCAAAAGAAACAGTCACTAGAGTGAATCGGCAACTAACAGAATGGGAAAAATTTTTGCAGTTTACCCATCTGACAAAGGGCTGATATCCAGAATTTACAAACAACTCAAACAGATTTACAGGAAAAAAAACAAACAAGCCCATTCAAAAATGGGCAAAGGATATGAACAGACACTTTACAAAAGAAGACATACATGAGGCCAACAAACATATGAAAAAATGCTCATCATCACTGGTCATTAGAGAGATGCAAATCAAAACCACATTGAGATACCATCTCATGACAGTTAGAATGGCGATCATCAAAAAATCTGGAGACAACAGATGCTGGAGAGGATATGGAGAAATAGGAACACTTTTACACTGTTGGTGGGAGCGTAAACTAGTTGAACCATTGTGGAAGACAGTGTGGCGATTCCTCAAGGCCTTAGAAATAGAAATTCCATTTGAGCCAGCAATCCCATTACTGGGTATATATCCAAAGGACTATAAATTGTTCTACCATAAGGACAAATGCACACGAATGTTCATTGCAGCACTGTTTACACTAGCAAAGACCTGGAACCAACCCAAATGCCCATTGATGATAGACTGGACTGAGAAAATGTGGCACATATACACCATGGAATATTATGCAGCA